TGTTCACATAATTTGTAAATTGACTATATTGGTTGGAGATATGTAAATATAAATGGATATGGGAATCCATAAAGAATATCTTTGACTGAAAATCCTTAGACCTTGTATCAAATAAACGAGAGGATGTCTATTCAAGAAACCAGCCTATAACGACACACAACTTATCCTAAATTTAATTATTATTATTTTATTAGTGTTATGTAATTAAAATATGTAAGAAGGTTGAATCCGTAACCAATTTAACATTGCATATTATTTATTATTAATAGTAATTATATGAAACAAATCTTGGTATATATGCCTACATGAAAACAACAAAAAACTATTTAAAACATTATATACATACAAGTTCCTTTTCAAACTCAGTCTCATCTATAGCCATTGTTACTCTGTAATATTACAACAATTAGCATACTATATTGGTATCATAATTATTACTATTATGTATTACCTTGTTTATAATAAAGGATTTGCCCAAAGCTTGCTTTAGCTAAGAAAGTAAAAAAGAATTGTAGTGTCTTATGCTTCTTTATAATTTGTAAGATATGGGTAAAAGTAGAACGCAAGGCTGGAGAGTTTGCCCTCTAACAGCCAACAAGGCAGATTTTTTCGATCGATGCTCTAAGTCGCTTACAAATCCACGGCTTTCCTGAAAAATCCATAAAATTCGTCTGTTTATAAATAAAATTTCAAATAATTCGAGGAATTCAAACAATTTTGTAATCATCAGAAGCTGTATATTTTGTTACCATACAATATTTAGTTATGCTTATGCGTAAAAATATATGCAACCTTTTGTTAAACGTAAAGCTTTTTGGATATATCTGCATTCCTAGATTTTTATATTTGGATCTAATCAATCACTAAGTTAGGTTTACACAGCAGGATCTTAGATGGACTCTACAGAATCTTCTGGTGGACTAAACGGCCCCATCACTTCCGCCGGATGTCCATTGATTGCTTGAAGACGCATGCGCACCTCGCTTCATTGATTGATCGTCTGCCATCCTGACCAATTTAGGCCTAACCATGGAGCAAATGAAAGGGCCCATCTCCTAAGTAAACGCTAGCTTCCGGATTTTGAAAATTTTCAACGTTGAATAGTGTTGCGTTTGCTTGCAATCGATGCTGCAAAGTTCATCTGCAACACGCAAGACTGACGTTAAGTCATGTCGATAACCCGATAGAACTTCTTAGCTCAAAGAAAACTGCGTTTTTTTCTTTCTTTCTTTTACCGAAATTGAATCTTGTATATCATTATTGATGTGCTTTCTTCAGTCCTAAACGAACTTCTGGTAGGTCAAATTAAACCCTGTTTTGGTTGGTGAATATGGTCTATTCTCGATTTGAAACACTGTCAAGGGACTTGTTTCTTTCGCCGAAATTGAATCTTGAATCGAGTATATCATTATTGATCTTTTTTCTTTAATCCTAGACTAAATTCTAGGATATCAATACATAGCCTGTTTTGGTTGGTGAATATGGTCTTTTCTCAATTTGAAACAATTTCAAGGGACTTATTTCTTTTGCCGAAATTGAATCTTGTATCGAGTATAGCATTATTGATGTGCTTTAAGAAAATCACAGATGAACCATGGTAAACCAATAATAACCTGTTTTGGTTGGTGAATATGGTCTATTTTTGATTTGAAACAATGTCAAGGTACCTTTTTCTTTTGCCGAAATGGAATCTTGTATCAAGTATATCATTATTGATGTCTTTAGTCTAAACGAATTTCTAACAGACCAAATTAAACCCTGTTTTGGTTGGTGAATATGGTCTATTCTCGATTTGAAACAATGTCAAGGGACTTATTTCTTTTTCCGAAATTGATTCTTTTTTTAGGTAGATGCTTCAAGTATTTGTATCAATTATGTGTTTATAGCATAGATGAAATTCTAGTAGAACAGTAAATTGCCTGTTTGCTTGTGAATACAGATTCTTCTCGATTGAAAACAAGGGAATTGCCTTTTTTTTGCCGAAATTGAATCTTGTATCAAGTATATCATGATTGATGTGTTCCCAAGCATAGATGAACTTTTGGTTGACATCAATAAATAGCCTGTTTGATTGGTGAATGCAGTTTATTATAGATTTTAGACAATACTAAAGGACTCTCTCCTTATAACCATGATAACTAAACTTAAAGCGATTTAATAAAAAGGCATCTCCTAATCGTACAGCTAAAAGTTGCTAATTCATTTCCAATTTCTAATCCTGGTTTAAATCACATTAATAGGTACCGCTCAGCAAGAGCAACCTAGTTCATGATAATTGAAACAGTGAATAATATGTGAAGGTTATTCATATATTAAACAAAATTTTAACGCGGGATTCAATCCCGGTTCATGACTGTCGAGAATCGAGCGTGTTACCCATTCATCCATCGACTTATTGTCGGGAATGGAGCGTGTTACCCTCTCATCCACCGACTATTATTTTTACCAATTTCTAATCAATCTCCAATTTGATCTATTATTTGGTTCATATAGTTTTCTCATCAGTGTTTGATACAAAAGAGGTATGCTAGTGCCTTCTTCCATCTATGCCATTGACCAAATAATTTTGGTCCCTCCGCTTTTTAGGGTGAATTCTCCCCTCCCAAGGACAAGAGAATGTCTTTCTTTTTACAAGAATAAAGGTGAAAGCTTATCCCTGCTTTTATATGGTCCCCTTTTGTGTTAGCCATCCAAAAGGATGTAGCCTGCCCTCTACTTCCCCTCTATTCATACTGGGAGGTACAAATAGGGGGCCATTCATTATGATTAAGATCAATTGGAATTTTCTCAAAACCCTCCAGTACTTTTAGAGAGGCGTCTTCTTTATATATATCTACTTAATATTTATATGACAAAAATATGATTGAATTTATTAGAACAAATCTCATTTAAAACGAAAAAAAATCAAATCTTTAAGATTTAAATTAAAAATACCCTCATGGACAAAATTTAAGGAAGTGAAAAGCCCAGAAAGAACCTTAGATTGCCCAGAAGGAACCTTAGATATCCCAGAAGGAACCTTAGATATCCCAAAAGGTACCTTAGATTTCCCAGAAGGGACCTTCAATTGCCAAGAAGGAACCTTAGATTGCCCAGAAGGAACCTTAAATTGTCCAGAAGGGACCTAGATATCCCAGAAGGGACCATAGATTTCCCAGAAGGAACCTTAGATTGCCCAGAAGGAACCTTAGATTGCCCAAAAGGAACCTCAAATTGTCCAGAAGGAACCTTAAATTGTCCAGAAGGGACCTTAGATTTCCCAGAAGGAACCTTAAATTGTCCAGAAGGAACCTTAGAATTCCCAGAAGCAACCTCAAATTACCCAGAAATAACCTCAGATTGCCCAGAAGGAACCTTATATTGCCCAGAAGGAACCTTAGATTGCCCAGAAGGAACCTCAAATTGCCCAGAAGGGACCTTAGATTTCCCAGAAAGGACGTTAGATTTACCAGAAGGAAACTTAGATTGCCTAGAAGGGATCATACATACCATAAATGCCCAAATAGAACCTCACATCCTATGATTGCCCGGTAGGAACCTTAAATGGCCCAGAAGGAACCTTAGATTGTCCAGAAGGGACCATAGATTTCCCAGAAGGAACGTCAGCTTTTTCCAGAAGCGATCATACATACCATAAATGCCCAAATAGGACCTAAGATCCTATGATTGTCCAGTAGGGACCTCCTCACATGACAGGATTGCCCAGAATTTGCCAGGAAGGAAGGCTCCATGGGTAATTAATCACCGCCGTGGTTTTATCTCCTTCTCGAAGCTGATTGGCCACTTGTGGCTCGAGCAATCGACCCCATTTTTTGCCTATCCGCCAACTTTGATATATAGCCTGACCTTCTGGAGGTCGCCTGCAGAAAACACAAAATAATATTTATTTTTGGATTTTTACTCAGATGTGTAAATATAATTCTCACAACTAATTTCAACTTCCACTTTCTTCACCACCTTTCCATGCCTCTGGCGATACTAAGACCAAAATTTGTTGAGCATGGCTTCTTAAAAGAATGCCTCCAAATGCATCTAGTTATTCAAATAGATTTGGGCTTGCATTTTCCATTATCTACTATAAGCCTTAACGGCTCACCAGTTTTGAAACTTTGTCTTCCATTTTCTGCCATTATCAGAAGCTGATCATTAGTTTTGGACCTGATTCTTTCATTTTATTCTAGCACCATATCTGAATCATTAGATTTATCTTGAGTTTTCCATTCTCCGCCATCATTACGTCTTGTTCGCTAACTTTCAATCAGTATCATTCATTACATTACCATCACTACATCTTTGGCTTAGAATCTATATGTATCTTGAGTGGTCTAAAAAGAATACGATTTCAAGAGACGCAGGTAATATATTCTCCCCTGGTTGCCGAGAAGTGACCTCAATGATGCTCCATATATATATAACTTATTGCTTATGTAAACTTAACTTCACTATGTAAATATAGTTATGGATATATATGTAAATAATATGATGTAAATAATAATGTGTGTAATTGTATAAAGAGTTTTGATATTGCATGTGAACTTCTTGATGTCGATGCAGAACACACATTACTACATGTATATATATAATTTATTTCTCCTCTAGTTTCTTGTATTATTATTACAGCCTTGTTGAAAGACGTTATTGTCCAAAAGTTCGCCAATTTTATATCTCTTCAAGAAATAAACTCGACGTTTTTATCTTTAGTCTCTTCTTTGAACAGATTTCATTTACTTAATCTAAATATTCACTTAAATTCTCTCAGATGTGTACATATATTTTTCCTGATGTCTGCATCCACATTTCTTCAAAACACGTCAATGCTACTTAGGGAGATCCGGGCCCAAAACTGTTGTACTAGAACTTGTATCCGATCACGTCTAGTACAACAGGTTTGGGCCTGTGTCTTCCCTTATCTACAATCACATCTGGATCATCAGCTTCGAACGGTCTCTTCAATTCTCTTCCATTATCATGTGGACGTCCCAGACTCTACAAGCTACTGGTGGGCAGATCCGGGCCCAACGTTGTTGAAACGTTCCTGGAAGGTTGTTTCCAAACCGTGAGTTTCAACATCTTTGTACCTGTTTCTTCCATTTTCTATGATCATCACCATCCGCCCATCAGATTTGAACCTGTGTCTTCCAATTTCTACAATCATCACCATCTGACCGCCAGCTTTGGACTTGTGTCTTCTCTGTCATCAACACATTTGAATCAACAGCATTGGACCTGTGTCTTCCATTTTCTACAATCATCACCATCTGATCATCAGCCTTGGACCTGTGTCTTCCCTTTTCTGCCATCAACACATCAAACTCACCAGCATTGAACCATTGTTCCCCATTTTCTACGATCATTACCATATTCCCATCAGCAGCTTTGGATCCGTGTCTTCCCTTCTCTGCCATCAACACATCAAACTCACCACCATTGAACCCTTGTCCTCCATTTTCTACAATCATCACCATCTGCCCATCAGATTTGAACCTGTGTCTTCTCATCTCTGCCATCAACACATCAAACCCCCCACCATTGGACCCTTGTTTTCTATTCTTTGCTATTATATTCGGCTTATCAACTTCAAAACTGTTTATTTCATTTTTTACTATCTTTATGTCTATACCTATCTTCTCTGCTATCATCAGGTGAATTCCCCCCGAACTGTATACATGTTTGATAGTACTTTTATTATCCGTCGATACCACAATACTTCATCATACTATTTGTCGATTGTAAAAGAATATTCCTTGATAACAATCAATCTGATTTTTAGTATACAATTTGGGTTTTTCATTTCAAAATGCTTTTGTATTTGCATATCTCTAGCATTATCTTACCCTATCATACATTTTGTTAGCATCTGTAAAACAAATTAAATGCCGATTTTACCTCTATATATATATAATCTCAGTTATGTAAATGGTGCAAAACTGGTATATATATGTATATATGTAGAATTTTATTATACTATGAGGGCGGCGTTATAGTAAATATTACTCAGGTAAATTAAAAGGTATACCCGTTGGCTTTGTGAAAACTGAAAAATCACCATAACGATTGCCATTTCTGTCTCTGAAAAACCACAGGCCTCTTTATAGCAAAAATAAACAAACTTTATCCTGATATACCATCAGCTAAACAAGCTATTCTTCACAACCTCGGGAATTCCATACCGATTCCTAATATGGTTCAAGAATCATTTGTCGAAAAGAGCGATTAGCATAGAGCAGATTGCCTATAAAGACCTTGCAGTATCAGTTTCCAAAAAAAAATTAATAATAATAAAAAAACACCCTGGAAATCTTTTAAATCATCCAATAGGGACAAACGAACTCATATTGCCAAAAGGACACTTCAGCTTCATATTGCCAATAAAAGACATTGTATTATTAGATTTCCCAGAAGTCACTTTGCAGCCATAGATTCACTACAGAGGTTGAAGGTCTTAAATTTCCTATAAATGACCTTAAAAATTCAGTTTGCCCAGTAAGGATCTAACAATCGCTGATTACCGAAAAGCTTATTGCATTTCTAGAGTGGTCAATTCCATGGTTGCTTTGAAGTCGAAAGGAAGGAAAGCTAAAGGGCTTGGTAATCACAGTCGCAGTTGTTTCTCAGTCTCGAAGCAGATTGAGCAATTGTGGCTGAAAAAATATAAGCCACACCTCATCGCTATCTTTAATATATGGTCTGATTGTCGAGTTCTTTCATGCTGGAAACATTTCACTAATATGATATATTTATGCATGTTTTCAGTCAGGAGTGTATATGCATATACACTTGTATATATATGTATATATAATTTTATTGAAGTCTTCATCCAGCTTTCCTAAACATCTGTACATGCAACTTAGGGGGATCCGGGCCCAAAACTGTTGTACTAGATTTGGAGCTAGCTTCCGATCACGTCTAGTACAACAGGTTTGGGCCTGTGTCTTCCATTATCTACCATCACATCTGAATCATCAGCTACGGGCTTGTAGATTCCAGTATTTGTCATCCCATCAAACTCACCAGTTTTGGACCCGTGTCTTCCATCCTCTGCTATCATCACATCATGACCACCAGCATTGGATCTTCCATTCTGTGCTATAATCATGTGGATGGACCAGACAAGAACTGTATCTCAAGAATTATAGAAATACCTTCACCTTAAGACCTCCTGTAAATATATACTGATCTGAAAAAAAAAAAAAAGATCGACCTTGAAACTTTAATTTTACAGAAAGTCTTTTCATCTCATGAGTGTTAAGAAAATATCTCATATACTATGATTGTCTATTATGATTTTAAATTATATTATTGTCCAGAGGAGACATCACATCCTATGATTGCACAGAAAGCGCATCACATTCTAGAATTGTCCACTA